TGTATTTTTTAGCTTTGGCAAATGTAACAGAAAACCTAGATTTTTGAGGGTACATGTCTGTGTGTACCAAAGATGGAAAATATGTGCATGGTCCTATTGACATTAAATGGAAACTGCATGCATTGGGAGGACTGTAGGTAGCGTATTCTCCTACTACACAATGATGGAGCACCAAAATTATAATGACTGAAAGGGCTATTTTCCCTGTTGCTGTCAGTTTTGTGAGCAGCAATGGGAAAGAGAATGATTCTGCTAATGCATGGATGATGGGGACATGACCTAATGTTCCTGGTGAACAGAATCAAATTGATGTTTCAATGCATGGTCTTTCTACTTTACGCTAGTTATTGCATCACATTAGAGACTCTGAGAAGCTCTCTCAGTTGTACAAGTCCTGTAAATATAAACTATTTCTGGGATTATGCCTACTAGTTTGGGTCAAGAATTTGCTCATATAGATCCAAGTGTGCCGCATGACGAAGTGAGCTCCCGTCTCTAGTTCCAGCTCCTGCCAACCTAGTAGTTCGAAAACAAGAAATTGCAAGTAGATAAATAGGTACCACTTCAGTGGGAAGGTAACAGTGTTCCGTGCACCTTGGTGTTTAGTCATGCTGGCCACATGACCACGGAAATGTCTTCGGACAGCGCTGGCTCTTCGACTGGCTTTCGAGCAAGGCAACCTTTACCTTTACCTTTTACTGACAAGTGCAAACACCTAAAGACTGCATGGGAAGCAGAGGATGAATGATAGGCTCAGATTATATTCCCACAACCTGATGACAGGAGGCATGCTCCTGCATGGGACAGAGGCAAACAATTTGCTTGTACTTGCTGGAAGGTGACAGAACTGCACAAACTGTGAGAAAGCTAGTGTAAGGCTCAGTATGCATTTTATAGTTCTCCTGCCATAGAGAAAGGAGGGCGGAAGAGGGGTGTGCTTCCATTTTCCTAAAGGCTTTGATGTGTCACAGAGACCTGTTGTTTTACCTTATTTCTGTAGAGGGGTACGTGCTTAGTGGGGGGTGGTAGTTGACTGTTGTTTCTGGCAGGCAAATGCGGTGAGGTGATTGGGTCCTGATCTTTAGTGCCTATATTTGAACACAATATATCTGCAATCCCCGTGCTTTCACCTTCTGTCCTAACAAAGCTCATATTCAGTATGGTATTCTTCAACATCTCAATAAACTAAACTTTCTTCAAAGTGAGTGGTGTTGAGAACTGATTTAACCAGGATTCTGACCACTAGTGACAGAGCCTCAGAATTTGTTCTATCCTTAACACAATAGCCACACTTGCTTTGTGCAAGGCATGGAGACAAATACACAGACACAGGCCAAACCAGACAAGACATGAACCATCAGCTATGAGGAAGGATTGGATCTCCCTATGTGAAGGAGAACTGCTGACTGAAGATCCTAAATTTTCTTTAAAATCAGCTGGGGTAGTGGGGGAGTATAGGCATTGCCGAGAGTCAGACAAGACTGAATGGCTAACAACAACATTAGGCATGACAACCTTTTAAAAGGTCATGTTCAAATAGGGAGACAGTATTTAAAGATGAGACCACTGGTTGATGTTTAAAGTTGAATAGTAGTGTATTGTACAGGTGAGCACTGCATTCTTTGTGTGCCTTATGATGTTATGCTGTGCTGTTTGAAATGTGTTTTTCCTGATGTGTTTCGATACTGGATGGTGGGATCTGCACATAGCTAGACATTGCTATATTATTATCATTCACACTGCATATTTACTCAAAAAATGTAGCATTTGGATAAATAAATTATGCCAATCAAAGGAATTACATATGCATAAAATCCAACGGCATGGGTGTTCAGTTAAGATCAGATGGACTGGAAGAAAAACAATTACTTTAACTCGCTGCAACAAGGTAAAGAAATGCATGTACATCAGGTTCCTCTCACTTGTACATTTATTTTAGCATACCTGTCTCCTGATCCCTTTAATGTCCTAATGCTCTCATTTCCCCCTGTGCTCCTCTGCATATGAAAAATTTAACTAAAAACGGGAATGCTTTCTTCTATTAGATATTCCCTTGGATAAAGCATACAATCTGTGTGGATATCATCCCAAATCACACCTGGAAATCAAACAGCTTTAATATTGATATTAAATAAACAAAAATCAAGCTTTAAAGAAGAGACCCCAAATCTGATCCCCCCCCATTTGCACACTTTAACCACCTATTCTGTACTGTTCCTTCCATTCCAACTTCTTGTCACAGAGCTTCCAAGCCCTTACTTTTTATGTATCACAAGACATCTTTCCTATCCTCAGCTATCTTCTTTGTGAAGTTTTAGTCAAAATGAAATCAGCCTTTCTTTCCCTCACGAAATCTGGTCTGAAAAAGTGCTTCATTCTCAAAGCAACTGAACACTTTATGCCACCTACCTAACTCAGTCAACTGGAGGCATCAACTTCATAAATGCAATACAAAGCATATGAAAGATTTATATTCTGAAGGTTTGGTTGGAAATTCTATTAGTTTCTGTTACAATCAGAGGACTGGCTATAATTAATAAATTCAACATCTGATTGTTAAGAAGATAGCTATTGAAAGTTAAAAGCTAATGAGAACTGGATATAATATATGCAAGCATATTCTGATTCATTGCCCACACCAGCCAGCTCAGCAATATGCTGTTATGGACACTGCTTCTTGTGTCACCCCAGAATAGTTTGTTCTTTCACACTACATTAAAATTAAAGTCACCAAATTAAAAATAAGTTTAACAATGGCATGAGTATGACTGACTTATGAAGGCAGCACATAAATCTTCACAGAATTATTCTACTATTTAATGCTATAGAATAGTTTGAAACAGTGCTGGCAGACTGGGGAAAACTCCTTAAGTTGGTGCACATCCTGATCAAGCAGGCTTTCTTAAAATACAGAATGGCTTGGATCAGGCACAGATACATGGTTACGGGGGGCATTCTTGCTGATCTCCCTCCCCATAGAGACCTCCAGTTCCCCTCCCTAAGCTATTCCTGGGGGTTTCCCATCCCTCTGAAATATCATTTCAGTGGGTGCTTTGGTCTGCTGCAAGAGAGAGCAAGTTGGGAAAATCACTGACCTTTCTGCCCACAGAAAATGAGGTAGGATCCAAGCCAAAGTTACTCCTAAAGTACCGCTGAACGTGTTTTTAAACACATTTTACCGTATCTGGACTGCCATCGACATATTAATGGTTGAAATTGTTTATTGTGTATTTTATACTGAGATGTATATGGTTTTATTGGGTTTTATGTACGCCTCCCCGAGCCTGCCTCGGCAGGGAGGGCGGGGTAAAAGTTAAAGTAATAAATAAAGAAAGAACTGTGAGGAGATGTAGCACAAAAATAGTTAATTATTATTATTATTTTAAAAGGTCCCACTGTTCTGGATTATACCATACCACCAATAAAGTTAATTGCCTTCTTGCATTTCATAGAGGATATGTGCAAAATCAGGTCTTCCTAACATAATGGACCCCCAAAATCTGTTTTTTATCCTTCTGTCTTTTTAAAATATTTGTAACATCCTGCCTGATGAAGAGTTCTGGTGAGTGTTATCTACAAACCTGGCTACTATACTGCTCAGCCCCAAATTCCAGATCATCTTTGAACAAATTAAATAGCATCAGGAAGTGATTCTTTTCAAACCTCACTGCTTAGTTCCTTCCAGTTGACAAGATATGGTCTCTCTACCTTACATCAGAAAGCAATCTTGCTACGGCAACTAATTGAAGCTTCTGAACAATCTTCAAAAGACGTTCCACGTAGAGATCATTGCAGTGACAAAATTTAGATGTGGATAACTGTGGCCAGATTGTGATTTATGAATGAATTGGTCATGCTGAACGCTAATTTCCCATTTCATAACAACTGTTTAGATTCTAGTAAATGAGATGGTATTGACATCCTAGATGGATTTTAGATAAGCCCAGGACACAAGTTAGGCAAATATTAAACATTATTGAGGCTGAGAATGAGGGATTAAAGGTCCTAAAATCACATAACAAGTTCTTAGTAGAGGCAAGATTTTGTCTGGGGAGTTCCAGGTAATATGTCAGCACTGCTTTTTCACATTACTGATGCTGGACATAGGCTGCGATCACATGAGCCTTTAGACCTGACATAGGTGCGAATGCCTGACGGATCTAAAGGGAGCGATCAGGCAGCAACATCTGGGAAGCATCCCACAGTCATCAGCAAGCCATGCTGCTCCGCCACAGAAGTGGAGTTAAAAGACACTGGGGAAAGTCCGGTAGTAAATGGGTTGCTGCGGGCCACGGATGGACTTTCCCCTGTCTGATCACTCAAGCACACTCTCATGCCATCGGGATGGTCTGATCAGGCCATCCTGACTCTGTGCTGTTGTATTTTTCCCCCTTTGCAGTATGCACATCTTCACATACTCCATAGGGGACCCTCAGTGCAGAGGTGCAAATCCTTGTTTGTGCACAAGGGAAACAAACAGCAACAAAAAACAACAACAACAACAACAACCCGAACTCACCCACAGTTGCTTCTGATCACACAATGACGGGCTAAGCCCATAGCTTCAAAGGGCTGTGTGATCTCACAACTGCATGTCAAATTCCTCCAGAGGAAATAGCCTCGCTTCCCCTTCACTTCAACTGGCACGTATGACCACAGCCATAAATTTACATGTGAATAAGGGTATTCCATAACAAGGATGCTACCACAGAAATGTTCTTGTATCAAGTCACCACCTAGCCTTGAAAAATACCTGGAACTGAATTGGAAGCTCTGTATGGGAAAAGATGGTCACAGATCATTGAACTTTAATCAGTCTGCTGAAGTGAATCTGGAAACAAACCAGCAGGTTTAAAACAACAATATGAAATGTCCTGTACAGTGATATTACATCCAGAGCTACCTGAAAATCATATGTTCATATAAACAATACATTAAAATCATATGTATTCTGTGTAGATCCTTATAGAGACTAAGTATTATAAGAGGTTATAGCCTACCTTGAGGTTTTCCTTGGTTCTGGAAATGTCTTCAGATTCTAATCGTATTTTAGCTAAATTCTGTTCTGCCTCAGTTAGCCAGAGGTTAAAGTTCTTCATGCCACGATGGAAATTCCTCCACTTCTCCACTGATCTGTCAAACCGCCTGTAAAATGGAATAGGAACTATGAATATATACTCTAGGGCATTATTTGATTGACAACAGCCAGCCAAATGTTTAAAATATTGTTTGTTAAAATATTTTAAAACATGATTTTAAATGTACAATGGATGCAATTATGATGCATTCTATATTTCTGAAACTGAATTAGCTGACAGACCTGGAGGGTAGAAATACATTACTGAATATGTATTATAAAATATATATCAGGATTGCATCCACAAATCTTGGGATATTTGCACTACAGAAATCATTTGCAAGTGGATTGTTGTGTGGGCATTACATTCCTTTTACCAGTGACTGATATGGTGCAACAACTAAGTGGGACTCCTGTATACATAGGTTATTGCTCCTTTATATACCTGTTGCCATTTAATACTCATATTCCCCACTATTATTAACAAATAAGGCAATTTGGTTAACACACACTTTGGTGAAACTGAATATAAAATATTTTAATGCATAAATAATTGAAAGAACTAAACAATCACAATATGCATATAATCACATTGGTAATGCAGTGTTTTAGGCATTATTTATCATAAGACAGTTTATTTTCAACTATGAATTAGTGCTTTATTTTAATCCTTAACTGTTTATATACTACATTTGCTCTAAGAAATCCCTAATGTGCTTCTTAAATCACCTGTTAATTTTAACAGGAATGGAACCTCCATTCAGACAAAGATATGCATTTATTCCTTGGAAGCAAATGAGTAAGCTCCAAATATTCACTGACGTTTGTGTATTTGATTGATTGATCAGCAGCAGTTCAGACAAACACAGGTACACCAATGTTTCATTCATTTAAAATGAATTTATTTATGCCTAGTTTCTCTGGATTGTGATAAATGATACAAATGTCTTTTGCAGCTACAGTATCATACTATCTAGCCCATGAACTCCAACACTTAGGGGTCAAACAAATGAGACAGAGAGCACTCCATATGTTCTATCTATAAAACATACATTTCAGGCACTGTGCAGCATCAGTTTGCCCCAGGGCCATGCAGGAAAAGGAAAGGGCATTTAGCCCTGTAATTTCTATCAGGTTTCCTTATTTGAAATTTGCTCCTATGCAGAGCTGGTACTACCATTAGGCCAACTAGGTGGCCACCTAGGGCACAGACCTCAGAGGAGTGCAGAACTTACCTGAGGGGCATAGTTTTATACAGATTAGTTTCTTGAAATAATGCCGCTGACAATTTATGTATTTTTTTATTTTAAGATAAATACCACAACAGTGCTATGGAATATAATTAATTATAAAGTCTTATAAAAGTTTTCCATATACTGCACCCCCTACCACTTGCAAAAGCCCCATTGGCAACAGCCACTGTGGTCTGCCTCCTGGGGTTATAAATTGGCAAACGGGGTGCATGGGCAGGTAGCAGTGGGGGAGAAAACCTATTGAGCACCCCCCACACACAAAGTAGGGGGGAACAGTCCTCTCAACAGGCAATCAAGCAGCTCAAAAACTCACCCTAACATTTTTAACAAGACATTTCCCAATAGGTAAAACAAATACCAAAAAATTGTACCATAAATGGGCTTGTTGGCATAATTATGAAGGTGAAAAAGATGCTAGTGATTCGTATATATTGTTCTTTGAATAACAGCAGTATGGTATGGCTTTGGGTAGGCAATATGAGATCATTAACTCTCAAAAGAGGTAACTCTCATTAATTATATCATGCATCTAGCATTTGTTCGCTGTTTTACCAAACCCACACTGGAACAGAAATTCCCCTCTACATTGCATGCCACTTTCACTTTCTTTGATGGTCAGATTTTATGCCAGGGTCCAGACTGCATGCCGCTTTCACTTCGCTTGATCTCTCAATTTTATGATAGAGTCTGCATAGACTTATGGCTGTTTTACGGCCATTCAGGGGTGACTCTGCAGTCAGCACTGCGTTGGCCTGGGGTATCTAAATGTGGTTTTGAGCCGCATCTTTTTCTGTTCCAGTGTGGGTTTGGTAAAACAGCAGAGCAAATGCTAGATGCAGATTGGACCAATGTTACCAGTCATTGCTGCATCTCAAAATAGTCTAGAAGACTCAATCAACATGAGAGGGACAAGCCTTACTGAAACTACTCCTTTATAGCTCTCCAAAAAACAAGCTAAAAGAAGAAAGCAAACAAAATAAGTAACTGCAGATAAAACATATCTCCTTATCAAGTACAGCATAATTCTCCCTCCTGTTGTCTTACAACAAGTATGAAAGGGGTGGGGGGGAGAGAAGTAGAAGCCACTCTGTTGTGCCAGGCAGGAAAAACAGTGGGGAAATCGCTTCCAATGCTGCAAAAGAAACTTTTCAGCAACTTGAGGAAGCAAAGCAAGAAGGGAGAAGGACAATGAAGGAACAAAAGGTGGGAAACTGCCTACAGAGATAAGAAACCACTTTATACAACAAACTGTACCCCAGCAAAACCAAGAGGAGAGCCAGCATGGAAAACACTAAAATCACAGCTATTCTGCTGTGTCTGGAAAGAAATGGACAGAAAGTCAGCTTCATGGCTGCAAGAAAGGGGAGGAAGGTAGAGAAATTCTGCTGTAGCAATGTGCAGAGCATACTTGCTGCAGAGGAGCAAGTGCAGAGAAAAATACCTCTGCACTAAGAACTTTGCAACTGCTCCCACACCTTACCCTAAATCTATATGAATGCCCTACATACAAGTCAGCAATAACAACCCTTAGGACTCAGCACCTATGGCCCCAGTAGATGATCCCAGCCACAGTGGTGGCTAAAATGGCAGGCTAAATCAATAAGCGGGGGCAGCAGAACAAGGACTAGTACTCAGGATACAATTGTGGTAAAGTTTTTGAGGATCCTCCAATCCACTAGCTGATCTGTTTCACCAGCAGCAAGCCTGGAGTGAAGGGTCACATGCCATGGGTTGACATACTATAACCTGACTATTGCTCATCCCATGATTGGCTAGCTTCATTCCCATGCAACATGCCCCACCTTAATCCCAACTGTTTCCTGATCTTGCTTGGCTTGGACTAAGTGGATTTCTGCTAACTACAGTCCTGGCTTATCCCAGCCTGGACTGATCTTAAACTTATTTATAAAATATAGTCATTTTTCTAGGGACTTATGGCTGATAACCCCCCCCCCCCGACCATCTGGAGCTCAGTTCTGCAAACAAAAGGCAGAAAAAGCTAAGGAGCAAGCAAAGCAAGAGGGGTTCTTCCGGAAATACCTTTGTACACAGAAAACAATTAAAGAACAAGAATATGACTATACCCTTGTTGAAACTACCACTGAGGAAGCTGTATGTGGTGCTCCTACTACAAATGATATAAACTCTAAGGTGATATATATGATGCTTTAATAGAGATCTTTGATGACATGAGCCTAAAAAAATTATCTGGAAATACTTCTCGACAAGTTGTAAGTTCAAGTTTGTGGTATCTCTTGTTACATGGAACAACATCCTTTTTGAAATTAATCTAACAAGCAAGCTACTACAAAATAAGGAAGCTGATTTAAATTCAGCTACAAGCCAATTGCAAGTGACCAAGAATTACCTTGTGGGCTGTAGGTGTGATGAGGGTTTTCAACAAGTTTTGATAGATGCTACTGAGATTGCAAAGGAGTTAGAAATACTACCAGACTTTGAGACAGAACAACTTAGAAAAAGGAGAAAGAAATAGCAGTTTGAATATGACGCCCAAGATCTGCAAGATCCAAAGCAGAAATTCAAAGTAGGTTTCTATTATGTCTCAGACATGACCATACAATCTGTTAAAGAGATATTCCAACAGCTATCTCTCCTTATATATAAAAGAGTTTTTGTGTCCCACTTTCCTCAACATTCCACACACACTCCCACAGTCTTTGACTCCCTCAGCTGCCACTCTCAAAGTTTGCCAATCCCCTAGCTGCACTGCCTCGGTGCATTTCCTCGGTCCCGCCCACAGAGTCTCTGGAATCAAGTGGCTTTATTTTGCATCACAAATATGGGTCCCTTGCTCTGATCACTGCTGGCTACCTCTGCGATGCCTGCTCCGCAAGGAAAGGAGGGAGAAGGTGGGAGGGGGCCATTCTGAGCAATAAAAGCCCAAGCCCGGTGGGCGGACAGAAGCCGCCTCATCCTCAGGCCCAGGTTGGCGCCAAAAAGGTGCCTCTTGCCTGCTGTGCTGCCATTCCTTCTTTGTGCTGAGGAAAAGCCGCTCCAACATGAAAAGGTGACGTGCAAAAGGGGCCATGACGCGAGGGGAGCTCCTCCTTGGCAGCGCTTGGTGAGAAAGCTCAGCTGAGGTACAGTCCCTGCTGTGGGAGAACGCAGAGTGCTTTCCTGTCAGGAACGGGGAGGAGATGGCTGAAGAGCCAACCTCAGATGCCCTGCTGGGAAAGGAAGCCCAGGGCGGCAATGGGGTGCCCTGCAAGCCATGCTCTGCTCTTCTGTGGTGGGAAAGCTGCCGAGACAGAGAGCGGGTCATTCATCCATTTGTTTTTTTGCCATAGGGGATGCAGAAAGCACTACGTGGCTCAACGGGTTCTTTCATTTTAAAACATTATTGCAGTGTTCAGAGTTCCGTTCGACAAAGACATGTGCCTGAATACAGCTCAATACAAAACCAATTTAGCAACTCTCCCTGTTTGGCTGATGACTGATTCTCGCTTTAGAATCCGCCTCCTGAGCGTGCTCAGCTTTTATTTAAAACTCTCCTTTTTTCAAGGAGGTGGAATTCAACCTTATTTCTCGGTGGGGAGGACTCTTTCTTCGTCCTGTTGCTTCATAGCTGCGTTCTTGCAGAAAACACCAGGCAACAGCTCTCCTTCCTCATGTTTACTCTCACTCTCCTCACCTATTGGTTTTCAAAACACTCATCCCCTCCACTGTTCCCTTTCACCCCCTTAAAAAGTACTGCCAGGAGTGGAGATGGTGGCTGGAGAGGCACTGCCGGGGCGTTCTGCTGGCCCCAGAGACTGGGGAGGGGGGGAGGGGGATGTGGGATGCCGGGGGTGTGT